CCCCAAAACCCCAAAACCCCAAAACCCCGAGAAGCTAAATCACATTAACTTACAAGTTATGAAATTAATTTAGGATAGATGTCAATAATATAAATTTTCTTCATGATAGGGATTCGTAAAAAATTTTGAAGTTTCCTTTCTTGAAACAATTTCTTCTGATTTTTACTTTTTTAATCTGAGAGCTAGAGATTTTAGTTTTGGGTCAGTTTAGTCAATTGAGCTGAATTTCCTGACAAAATTTTGGAAAAATCCAGTGCTACTTCTCCTCTTAGCTTATTTCTTTATTTTATCTAGGGGTTTTTCAGATTTGGTAGATTTCATTATTTAAAACCCCAAAATTATTATGAATCCGAATCCAAATATTCCTAGTATTGGATAAATTTTCGAAAGTGTACTCTTTTACATAAGGAATGTTAAAGTTAGAGTCAATGATTCCTAGGAGTAATCATTCTTAGCTATTATTTATAGTTCTTTGCTACTCACCTCCTTATGAAAATCATTTTAATTAGGCATAATTTAAAGTGAAGGCTGAAAATTTTTACATACAAGTTTCATGCTTGCACCACATATAACAGCAAAGCACATAAAATCAGATGTAGCATTTATTGAGAATTAATCCATCATTACTGTGTAGGAAACTCTTTATAAGTAATCACAAATCCCATTTTCTGTAAGTATATACACACCCATAGCCTTGGTATTTTCTAGAGAAAACCATGTATAGAATCTAATTTATGAGATATAATTGCTTGTAGTAGAATTCTTTAAATTTTCAATATATGCAAACCCTAGAGGCCCGACTGTCACACCTTGTTTTAATTATACTTTGACGTTAGTATTAAAGTATTCAGCTCTAATTTCAGGCACTAAGTCAGTGAAATTCTCAGATTAAAACAAAATTGATATAATACCCTGTTAAGAGACTATAAGCTTAATGTTATTATTTCTCTGAACAACAATATGATTAATTTTGAAGCTGTTTGTAAGGACATAATTACTTATAGGTATTTTATTGGTAATTCTATTGCTTTTAAGATTGTATATTATAACACCATAATCCTAAAGAGCAATTAGTAAGTGATTTTCTGATCCATGCAACTTAATAGCATTAATCTTAAAAGAATCAAGTTTTAGTTCTTAGAAATTTACTTTTTATTACTAACTTTTCTTGTAGGTAGTTTTTATTTTTTCAGGATTTGTTTTATTTATGATGACATCATAGAAATTAATAGAGGATTAACTATACTAACCTGGTGAATCATAGACTATTATTGCCATAAGATGTGCTAGTTTTGGGGTTAATGAAATTTTATGTAATTCTATTATTGATATATTTGTAGCTAGTCTAACATAGTGAGTTACTGGATCAAATTTGATAGTATCTTCAATAGTAACCCAATGATCTTTTTTCCATTCACGCTTTGATTCGGTGTTAAGAATCTTGACTTCTGTTATAGCAAATTATTGATCATTATTTTAAGTAGCAATAAAGAAATGCAAATATACATCATCGCTGATTTCAAAGAGTCAATAATAATTAGGGTTGCTCCCATTAAAATATACATCAGTCAAAGGTTTATATTCATATAGTTAAGTCTGTGGATTAAAAATTCTCATATAGGTTTTGTCAAAGTATATAAAAACTGATCCAACTGCAAAAAACCCGAGTATTTCATTTTCATTACTTGAAAATTCAATCAACTTGTCATCAGTAAGAATGTTATCAAAGATCATAACACTCTTACAGATTAAATCCTCTTGATTAGAATCTAATTTTTAAATAATAGTGTCAAATTATTGAGTTGAAGTTTTAGGATCAGGATTGTCATTGCCACATTAAGCCTTGAATTAAATATCAAAGCCATGAAAATAGGTATAGAACTAATATTTGGCATACATCTAATTTGAAATGCTTAACTTTGAATTTTATTCTAAAGAAATAGTCAAGTTTTAGTCCCCTTCAGGATTGTAAATAACTAATCCTCTGTTTTACACTAGAATAGTGAAATTGACTACTTACTCAGGACCATCTAATGGATAAACTTAATAATCCATCGTGAAATTTCTTTCATATCTACATAGATCTATGAGCATTTCTACATTAGCTGGTTTAATTACTATTTTAGTCTCTGGCAGAACTTAAAATTGTATTAGCATTCCATCTTTTATAACTATTATCACAAGTATATATCCATTACCAAGATCTTAAAGCTATATTCTTACTATATTTAGGTCTATTTCATCGATATCACTTGGAAGATCAAATCTAAATAGTAAGGAACTGTATCTTCTGTAATCTATACGATATACAAATAGTGTAAACCCATAGAATTGATTTTAAAAATGTTTCTCATACAGAACATAAATATAGGTATCTAAATTTTCAAATACTACCTTTTTAGTGATATTATTGATTACAAAAACATAGTTGTAATCTTTGAATGAATCCTAGAATTTAGGAAGGATTGTATTTAGATAGAGCCTTTACAATCCTTCGTTAAAGTTGTATATGTAAATAAAAGATGGATTGTAGAAGCAAACCAAATAATTGGAAATGATCTTGAAATTTATCAATTCCTTATCAGCAGCATTTGTTTAATTAAACAGATCTATGACTCCTTTAAATTTGAAGAGTGCTAGCTTATTATCCATTTTCAACTGACCTTATTAGTATATTTGATATAATTTCAACTTCAAATCACTCTAAAGTACCCAGACAATGTTATCAGAGAACTTTACCTGCAAGATAGACGTTTTGACTTTATCATTCCAAGGCAATTCAAACTTAATCATGTTTAAATATTTAAGAAATTAGGCATCATTCTTATAATTAGTCTTAAAGAAAGCAATTGATACCTTAGATATTCCAGGAGTACTTAAGACAGGATCAGAAATTATTCCAAGTATTTGATGAGTTGTGCTAAACTAGATGGGATCGAAACTTCTGAATTCAAAATCATTCATCACACCAGGAAAAATTTCATTTAAATCTATAGAAGACTCCCACATTAACACATTAAATAAGTCAAAGATTTGAACTATCATGTCATATTTATTTTGATCATCTAGAGATCGTGAAAAAACCATAAACTTCTAATTTTTTTAATCTATAATCCCCTCGAGAATCTGTTTATAGTCTACATTGAATACGTATTTAGTGAAGTTACCAGATTTCTTAGCTTCATTGCTGGTATCCAGTATTAATAACTAATTAGTAAAGAGGTTCACACAAGCTAAGTAAAGTTTGTTGAGGCTTACCTCAGAATCCTATAGCTTTATATACTAATTCATAGTACAGTTTTTTAATTTGAAATTTATCTGAGTATAGTTTAAATTTGATTGCCTGTTTTGAATATCAAAGAATCCTCCTGAGAAATTGTCGCCTTGTATCAAAAGATTGTTGTTTGGTCCACCGAAAAAAGGATCTATGTTGTAAAATTAAGTTCTACTTCCACAACTGTATATCAATAATATTGGTTCGGAATCACCCATATATTTTGAACCTTTGTAAATAGCCATTGTTTTATTTTTTAAATTGTTTATAAACAATAAATCTACAAAAGTAGTCAATTGACTACCAGTATAATTTGTAGCATTTACCCTAAGAATAAATTCCTTGTCGTAATAGTTATTTTATTAAAGCAAATTAGAATCATGAGCGTTTATTACCAAGCTGGAATTATAAATTGCATAGATTGAGAAAAAATTTGAAGTTTTTAAGATGAAAAAGTTCTCAAAGGAATTGATAAATTTCAGATAAACGCCCATATCTAAGAATTAGGAATATCTTATCTCTGAGTGGATTTATGAAAATTAATTAGTTCCTCTTTTGTAAAGTCTCAACAAGGGCTTAAATGTCTAAATTTCAATCAACTAAATTATTAAAAAATCATTATTAGCATCCATTACATTCATAGCAATAAACTTATTTAAGTCTTATCCTAAGTGATATATCTTAGATATAAATGGACCTAGCATTGTTGGAAGGCTTATCTCGTAAATTTCTAAAGGAGTCATTGCTTGAACAAAAATAACCTTTTCCTACAGGTTTATATTATCAAATTAAGCTAGTTTATTGAACCTATTTCCTTCCAAATAAGTAAATGAAGACACTAGGCATTTAGCTTCATTAGACATGCAAGTAATATTCCAAACAAGCAAACCAATTTCGAAGTCACAACCAAATAATAAGTTATCATAGAAATTTGCTTTTGCTGTATCCTTTATTTTCAACTATTTGAAATATCTTGAATTTCCATCTTAATCAACTATCATATGAAACCAGCCCATAAAAAACAATTTTTAAAAACCATCTTGGTCCGTATATGAATACACATAGATTTCACTATTGGTGACATTTTCAAGGAATACCAAATAGGAAATATTCTAGAATTACTAGTATATATCAATTCTACCATTTTTCATCTGTTGATAATCTACTGTAGAATACTAATAAGTAAGATTCACATTTGAATAGTCTTTCAAATCTATCTAAATTAATATTTCTAACAAAATTTATTACCTTTATGAGAAGAGATTTAAAAGTGTCATTTTTTATTCTAGTCATGTTTAGCTTACAAAGAAGAAGGAAGGTTTTCTCGTAAATCCTTACCAGGTTATTGCATTACCTTTCATTAGATATTTCATACTTGGCGTTATAGAGATCTACTGAATTTAGTTACTTGACTCTTTGCTTAACATTTTCAAAGTAATATGAAGAAACATTATAGATATTTAGTTTCATCTAAAAATCCACAAATACCAAGTAGGAATTATACTCTTTATCAGTAAAGAGACAAGAAGATTGAGGCATAGAATGCTACTCTGAGTTTGTCCCAAAATATGTTGTGTTTAAAGCAATAATTGGCTGCTAAAACTAAAATATTTCTTGATCGGTATCGATATATTTGTTAGTTGATTAATCTAGCAGTTCGAAATCATACGTCAAATTCTGGCCCTTAAAATAATTATCCAATTGTATTGTTATTGCTTCTGGATCCCTTGCAATTATTCTTGATAAATTCTTTATTTATTAAAAGCCATTTATGTCACCCGCTGCAATGGTACTCTTATTTAAAGCAGGAATAGCTTTAGTCACCTCTATCAGTTTTAGGATGAATAATGACATCAAAAGCTATTAAATCCTTTTGCCATGCTAATGATAATCCATTTATAATATATTAAATTATTATATAAATCGCACTGATGTAGCTATATTTTTATCTTGGGGTTTTGGGGTTTTGGGGAGATCGGAA